TCTCTCGCAGCGCCTCCTCCCGCAGAGCCCTCCTCCCTTCCTTGTTCTCCGCACAACGAGCGTGAACCTCCCCCTCCACAAATCCTCCACACCAGGGCCAGACAGCTCCTACATCCATTCACGCCGGAGATGCGCCCCACGACGACGGCCATACCTTTTTTTTGTTCCAAACCCTTGAAGCTGTAACGACCCTCACGGTTTGCTGCAAACTTGGCGCAGAATGCTACAACCACCTCACAGGGAGCTGCAACCACGGTCAAGCAAACCTACAGCGCGTGCGCCGACTTGGTTTTTGCTACAACGGAAGCACAGAATGCTACAACCACATCCTAGAAAGCTGCAACTAGCGTCGAGCGAAGCTATAGCGCGCGCGGTGACTTGGTTTTTGCTACAACCGACTTCGCCTTTTGCTATGACCGGCTCCAGTTTTTGCTACAGCCGGCATCACAATTTGCTACAACCGGTGTGGCATTTTTTGCTACATTGCACAAGCCGACGTTGGGAATTTTGCTACAACCAGCGTCTCAAATTGCTACAACCGGCGGCAGTGCAAGCGGCAACCGGCATCGCGACTCATTGGCAAAGATGATTTTTTGCTGGAACCAGTGACCGGGATGTTACGACTGTGAGATGTGACCGATGAGCATCAGTTGTGGCATCAGCCGTGAGTGACGACGAGCACGCCGCAAGCTGCAACCGGCCATGGAGATTTGTTGGAACCGGCTGCTTGGCGTGCTGGAAACAGCTAAGCGGCGAGCTGCAACCATGATGTTGTTCTCGACCGCGGCGGTGCCTACACGAACAGTAGGGATGCTGTCACCACGTTTTGTGGAGCTGCAATTGAGTTAGTGTTTTGCTGGAACCAAGTCTTGTGGACGCTACAATGGTGATCATGGCATTCTGCAATGACGGGCACGGCGAGCTGGATTCCTACAAAGCAGGATGTTGCTGCCATGCTTGCGGCGTGCTGGAACCTTGTCCATGTAATGCTACAATGCCCCCCCTCCCCGGCGAGCTGCAATGATGGCAACAACGAGACTAGTTTTTTTCTGGACGTGGGGGGAGATGCTACAACGGTGTCGGTGGCGAGCTGGAACCGCGTCTGCGTGATGCTACAATGGTGACCGTGAACGAGATCAGAGCTTCAAACATGGGGGAGTCACCGGGCTGACGCCGACGAGTTGTGTGATGCTGCAATAGAAGCATGCGGAGGATACGGGAGGGAGGAGGT